TCGGCCCTGTAGTTTTACAGTTTATTCATTACAATTAAACAAAATTTTCCGCTTTATAATATTAGTATAGATGAATTGTAACACACGCCGGTTCATTAATATACTTCATAGAGTACGAGTAAAGAAAAAAATACATATTTTATGGTTATATGTATATTTTATATTACAGCAAAGGAAAACTGTTGTAGTTTTATTCCCCACCGAGTTTGCAGTTGCAAAGCAAACATCGTAGAGTTGTTGCATCGAGTCGCAACAAGTGTTCGCAGCAAACATCTCGACTTTCCAATGCAACTGTTGTAAACATTTATCTCGATTTATATTTTTATTCAGAAAAAATATTACATATGCTAGGCTGAGTGTGGATTTAAAAAATTAAAAATGGAAAGCCAGAACGAGTTTTATTTATAACTAGCATTCGCCCATGACTCCGTCCGCGTGAAATTAAAAAACAAAAGTGTGTAGCCTACGTGTTCTTTCAGACTATCCTCTACATCAATACCATCTACAAATTTCATCGAAATCCGTCCAGACATTTAGGCTATAAACTCTAACAATTATTTATATATCCATCTAAATTTTCAGATTTATAATATTAGCATAATAGTATAGGTATAGTAATAGTGTAATATAGTATAGTACAGTATAGTATAGTATAGTATAGTATAGTATAGTATAGTACAATATGGTACGTTTGCGCAAGATTAGGAAGAGTGGAGTAAGAAAGGCAGAAGGGAATGTCACGAAGTCCGCCCGAGGCAATTTGCTACCAAATGTCGTTTGCTACGTGCCCCACGAATAAAGAGGAAAGGATAAGCCCTGTATTACTTTAGAAGCGGTTTCTTTACAATGACGTGTCACTTCATATTTGTTTTTACTGAGTGAAAGAGGAATATTAAATCAAGACTGATTAAGACAGACACATAAAAAAAATACTTAATCGGAGAAGAAATAGAAATAGAAAATAGAAATAATTTTATTGATAAACAAGAAATTAACATTTACAATAACAGTTATACCAACTAAAAGATTATTATTATACAATTTGTGGTTAATATACGTTTAATCTGGTGATGCCCACACTAGGCAATAACTGTATCGTGGGCACCGAAAACAGCAGTAAAAATCTTTCCTTACATTACTTACTAAAAACCTAAAGGCAAATAAATTCTTCTTTGATACTAAATTTTGGCTTAAAAGTAGTTCCTAAATGAAGTTATATTTTTTACCTTAGACTTCTAAGATTAAGGATCTAAGTTCTATAGAAACAAATTAAAAAAAAATCCTTTAGAGTTTTATTAAACGAGTAGAATTGATCATTATCATAATCTGCAATATTTTTACTATAACGAGTAATTTCTTTCAACTCCACAACCATATTCCCCAGCTTCCGTTCCGTACTTAATTTTTATAAGTGCGCATCTATTTTTCTTTTTACCCCCAGTTTCCGTATTCTGTTTACGAAACACCCCTTGAAGATTTACGCGGCTGACGCGAGCAATAACCGACCGGCCTACATAGAGTTCCCTATTTTAAAATGTTCTCGAAACCGGTGAAATATTGCTTCCAGCCTGACACCAACGATACTCCGTATATTTTAGTCATCGTCGAGAATTGATCACACGAAGATGGGGATGGATAACTTATTTAAAACGTTGTTACGTAGGCCCGACATCTTTAAAGTGACGAGACAATTTACTTTAGACGGTTAATAATACAATTATGACAGCACCCTTGTAGAAATGTCAACAAGAGTTAAGAAATCTACATAGCTTTATTGATTTTGTTATATATTTAACTGAATAACAAAGATAAATGCATCGAATTTTAATGACGTTTTCGAAATAAATCTTAAAAGAAATGTTATTAGTAAGTTGTGTAGATTTCGTATGTATAGAGTGTTACGAAACTCTAACGTCACGAATGTAGTCCGTATCAAACGTCTAAATTTGTCGTGGAACGTGATTTGATTTGCGGGCTCACTGTTATTGTGCCATAAAACAGAGCTGGGGGCTGTGAGAAGTAAACTTTTTTGATCTTGACAATCCTCTTGGGGAGACGCGTGTGGATATCATATGGAGAAAATGAAATGAATGTTTGGAACATGAACTATTAAGTCACAGAAATGTTCTTTTACGTTTTATGTGTTTCAGGAAAAGTGTCCTTTTTAACACGAACGTAAGAATTTAGAAGTGGAACATCTGTTGCTTTTATCATCACATTTGTTGAATTGTTACGTACTACTTTATTTTATGATACGGTAAAAGAAATTCTCAATTTCATTTGTATTAATTTTGTTGCGATATCACCGAATAATTTAAAAGTCACTTACAGAAGGTAACATCTATAAACTAAATATCAATGGCCGCTAATACAAATAAGGGAGCAAAATTTAAGTTCACCAGATCGTAAAACACATTAGCACGTAGTTGAAGCCCACGCGTGCCTCGCACCAACGATATTGGGGTAAAAGGGAAAATGCATTGGCTTTTTGTAATGTGCCAATAACCTGGGGATTAGGACGACGGAATCTGACGCGAACTTCCATTTTGCGAGCGGCATTTACGTGCCCTAATATGCTCACAAGGGAGGCGTTAGGCAATCATGATAGATAATATAGACTGCATTATGTCGATAGTTATATGCTTTATAACGCTGTATATGAACGCATTAGTAATAAGAGGGTAGCAAATTAACTTGGCGTTAAGTAACTAACAGAATCATCGATAAGAAGTACGATGACAAGAAGGTTTATGGAGCCTTATTCGTCATAAGCGATTCTACATTAAACAGCTTTTAAAATTATATTTCCTACCTATCAATAACTACTCCTATCAATGTAATAATTTAATAAAACAATTAAGTACTTAAGTTGTCCTTCAAGGTTTTAGACAGCTACTAAAGTCCGAATAGATAAAGAAACAATGCGGATACAATTTTGCTCATTAGCATTATTACTTGTACGGAATGTCATGAACTTTTTAAAATCATAATATTTAGTGAATTTATTTTTAAAGCAATAAATATTAACACAATAGGTGATCACTGCTTTAATTGAGTTTAGATTTTAATATAAAATTAAGTTCAGAACTTTATGGTAAAAATAAAAAGTACGTTTCGCTGTTTGCTTTTAGTAACTAATCTATTTTAAACTAATAAAAATCTATTCTAGTAGTAAGAAATCCAAACTCTCTACACAAGCGAACTAGGTGTCCATTTCTAGTCAAAATACACAGATTGTTTAGGTATGTATTTTTATCAGACATACCGTTCTTAAACATAAGTTTTAACTAATGATTAAGTCGTAAAACAGCATTTTTCTCTCTCATTATTATCAAGGAGAATAAGGGAGATGAAAATATTGCTGTACAAATGTATCGGCAGTGGAAATATCAAATATCGCGACGTCTGTGTAACTCTGCCTAAATAATGGTCGTGTGATAAATCACGGCTGTCGTTTCGTGATACTCTTTCGGAATATAAACCGGTGGGGGTTCAGTTTAAGGCAATACATTATTGCATGATATTGCATCTTTACCTGCGTTTACCCTTCGTATGTTTGCGTCAATTATCGAACTTTGTTGAACCAGCCTTGTAAAATAATAATTATCTCGTTTTTGTTCTAAGAAAATGTAAAAGAAGGGAATTTTTTTTGTATGTTCTTTCAACAGTGAAACACTACTGTTACGTTCTAATAATCAAAGGAATATATTGCTTTTAACATAGAATTTTACATCAAACATATCAGAGTTAATTATATTCCTTTATAAAACTGTTTACTCTCCAATTATTTTAGTTGACAAGATGTTCTAACAGCATTAATGTCAAAGACTTTGGAGTACACAGGACGAATTTGCAATTTAGATATCGTTTAAAAATATGCGGCCGCTATTTGAATACTTAAAAGGTTGTCGTATTAGGTAAACGAATACGCGGTCAATGGTATTAAGTAAGTATAACGAAAAAACTTAAAAACATGTCACCATGAAATAACAAGCTGGTTAGTTTGCAATTCCACTAATAATTTTAACTGGCCATTAAAAAATCATAAGACAGTCCCTCTTTTTTAAAAAAAATTATCTTTTAATAAACATATTTAAAATTAGCGTTTTACTTCTATACAAGGTTAATACAAACTTAACCCAATTAAATATATTTTTATGTACATTTTGTGGTAACCAAAGCCAAAACAGGTAATTATAAAACAACTTGACATCAGAATATCAATTAAGTAGAAAAATTAATTTTTTTTAATTCTCCATTTTACAATTTAAAATTCAATATCACTAGTTTAGCATAGTTTATAATTTTACGGTGACATATGTACCGAATTTAGAAGTATGTACAAAGGAATGTAGCGTTGCCTAGCTAGGCCGCACCTTACAAAGGCCTTAGAAGCTAGCATCCTTGAGAGGCCGCATTCCTATACCTTTACGGTCTAAGTCCTCATTTTCTTTTGCAATTACAAATATTATTTGTCAACATGTACTTTACTAATTACGTCTATTCGTTAAATATCTTAATTGTGATGCGATTTGACATTCTACCTTATCACAAAGGCATAAGTTTGTTTTTCCTGTACTTAAAAATAATTGATACATCGATGAAAAATCATCTTCAGTGCTTTATTTTCAAGTATACATTTTCCACTATCCACAACGATTATGAAGATATTAAAATGCATTAATTACATATTTTTTGAATTAATGAATGAACATGTATTTATTGCCACAAAAAACAAATAACAAAAGGACTTATTCTAGAGAAAACACAATCGCGGCAAAAGGTAGCCAGCTCAGCGTATGCAGGACGGAGCTGATTTTCAGCTGGCTCCTTCGCACTCAAGTAACATATACCTTAATTATTAGGGTAACCGGCCGAACTGATTACAATTAATTTTTCAAAATTCAAAGTCTTTCTTTATTTTAAGTCGATGTATTTAACAAAGAAGTAAGCGAAACAGTTGTGCAAAATCTTTAATTAATTAACTTTATTTGTTTCAGAACATCCTGGATAAATTCAATCCAGGCGCCCGGCAGATGATAACAGCTGGCAAAGCCTATCTCAAAGCGTTACATGGTTAGTGAACCGTTTATTTATTTAGCTTACTTCATATTTAATTAATTGGCTATGAGAGAAGGTTCTAATAGGAGCTATAGGAGGTAAAAATAAAGGAATAGTAATTTAAAATAAAGAAATTGCAAGAGATAAATCTAGATACTAACTGGCTACTAAGCACTCATATTTCTAGATGTTAATAAAATTGCCAAGTCTATTTCAAGCCACTTGAAACAAATTAACCTAGATGTCACCAGAGTGAACCAGTAAAGAAATCCGGAATGTTCCCTATTGAGTGAAACGCAAACAATTAATTTATATAGTGTTAGCCAAATGGGTGCATCTATATGCAAAACCTCAGTATTGTGCGCTTGTTTGGCTTCGGAACTGGGGCGGAGTTTGTGCCAAATTGTCTATGTTGGCTTATCTGGAGTATTATGGGCGACGCTCTAACAGCAATAAACTTGCCCATTGTGTAGGGATGCATGGCTCTTGTAGCTTGTTTCAACTTAAATTCGACGCCTCGTACGGTCAGTTAAATTGTTTTGCGACACGAAATGGATCCCGCATTAGCTTGAATTAAGCGAGTCCTCGCGTTTCTCTCAGCTTAATTGCGCTGACATTGTAATGCTAGAATTTGAAACTTTATGTTTTCGTTGTTCCTAAAATTGGCTAGTTTTTATTAGGAATTTTGAGGATAGAATCAGAAATTATTAAAACAGACTGACTGATGCAACTCAGAAATGACACCAATGTACATTAGTAAATGTTTAAATTCAAAGTAAAACGACATAAAATTACAAATACAGAATGTATGTCTTAAAATATGGGAACCTTATTTCTATAAAAAAAAAAAAAACTTTTAACAATCATCACTTCGTGAAAAGAGTGTTTTTCTTTATATTTTCTTCTTGTTCAAATACTTATAAATGTTTTGCTAAAACAATGAATAAAGTAATTTGATAGAATAAATTCATTATCATATTTATAAAGATCTGTTGTTTGTTCGCAAAGTAGGAATTATTTCGTAAACAAGACTTTATTTTGAAAGTACAAACAAGGCGAAAAGTAATATTGTGTTCGTAAAAACGGGACTGGAAGATGTATTTTTATATAAACAGTAATAACTATACTGAATTGTACGGGACACAGGAATAACCCTCAATTTATCAATTGCTTATGTTATTTATATTTCCAAACAAAAATTCCTTATTTGTTAATTTTTTTCTATCTTTCATATATCATTTTTCAATTACAAATTGCAATTTTACATCTGCTATAAGAAACCTTAGATTGCGATTAGTTGCTTTTTCACTATTTCTATTAGTTACATTTTAAAGTAAACGAGATTATTAGCTTAAGGAATGTTAAACAGAGTAGAAATAACGATTATTCTATTTATTGTGAACAGGCGCTGCCGCGGCATCTCGCCTCTACGTGGACGCAGTCGGCAAGCTGGGCCGGCAAGCGCAACAAGGAACGTGGGGTGGATGTGCGGATATTGGTATGCAATAATTAAATACTGATTTTACTGAAGTTCTGTTATCTTAACAAAATAACCTTGACCTCTAAGAAGCCGGTTCTTTGCGTCAAACTAGCGTAGATGAAAACTGGCTTTAAGGCCTTTTCTTTACAGAGCTTCAATGTGATTTTGCATTAGATGCATTTCATCATGTCGATATCCTCATATAGCTTATAGAAATTTAAAACAAAACAATAAAAACTACAATATAAAAGCCCTATTTATTTCTGTCACCTGTCTACTAACAATTTGATGTTAACTTTAATACTTGTTCTGTTGACTTGATAGTAAGAACAAGAGATATAACTTTTAACTATTTTGTTTACCCTGCAGTCACGTACAAAGCGATGCGCGGGTTATTACTTTAGCCGAGTTTACATAACTTAAACTTGTTTACCTTGATCTTAGACAGGATCTCAGCATTGCGTATATTAAAGTTAATGGAATCTGCTACAAATGTCGATGAATAATAAAATCGACATTTAAATACGCGACATAATTGCCTTGTGTTGACAGTCTGTTGGCTACATTTTTGACAATTTAATTTAATTTCATATTCGTATGAAAGCATAAAATTTTATGTATTCCGTTTATTGTTTGATTTACATTTTGAGTACATAATATAAGAGGCTCACACTCTTTCTATCATACTTCATACTAATATTATAAATGCGAAAGTTTAGATGGATGGATTGATCGACGGATGGATGGATGGATGTTTGTTAGAGTTTGTAATTTGTAGCTTAAACGGCTGAACGAATTTCTATGAATTTTGATATATTTGTAGAGGAGTACTTACGTTTGTTTTTTTAATACCACGCGGACTGAGTCACAGGCGAAAGCTATTATACAATATTTATCATTATATTTTGGGGGATTCTAACCAACAAATACTTATGTATTTCTAAACAGGTTACTTTAATTATTTTTAAAATATTAAAAGTAACAAGGGCATAGAAGTCGATCTCTTCATGCTACTCGCCTCAATCCCTTACTATCTAATTATTTCCTTAGACTAGAGCCATCAGTTATTGTGATTCTAACGACTCGTACAATCCAATTGACATTGCTTATTAAAGATGTCGGTTATATGCTGAGAGTAAACAGAATACGCACAAGTTCTGCTTTATCTTTTTTAATTCAACCAGATGTGAGGTTATAAAGTTAACTATTTGTGATCAAGTCACTGAAAGTTTGAAAGGTTATTGTAATAAAAGTACGTTTTTAATTAAAAAAACACTCGAAATACAAAATTCAAATATATAAATAACAAATCTAAACAGTTTTACCTTTACAAGGTTGTGATCACAGACCTATTAAAAACAGAGATGTCTGTTTCATCAACCGAAACACTAAAATTTTTCAAATTAAATCCATAGACTATAAATAATTCAGATAAACTTGAAGTGCTGTAACATTACAATGTTTTACAGGAACCGCTCTCATGAAAGTCGTCGAAGTTTACCGAGAGATACAAGATCAACAAATGAATATCGTAAGCTTTAATTCCGAGAATAAAATGTAAATTAATATTACCACAATTCGAAGTAATCCAACCTTTTTCTTTATTACAGTTAAAAGCATTCTACGTTGATTTGTTGGTCCCCTTGGAGACTAATCTGGAGAAAGACACAAAAGTAGTACAGGTTGGTTGGATGGAATTTTCCTTTCATAATCGGGTTTTTCTTGTAGAATCATTTTCGATGTTGTTTACCGAATAAAGGCAGAGCTCGGAGTTCGAACTTAAGTGTCTCCTTTATCTGAGAGATAAGAATTTCTATTAAAAAAGTTTCGATGTAATGTTGCGCTATCTAGTAAACGCACGACTTGTGTACGTTATAAAAGTACTGCATTTGAAGCGTGTTAAATAAAAATGTTCATTTTAAATGTAAACCTTTAATATTAAAGCAAATATACAAGTTGTTAAAGTTTCCTTGTACAACTTTATCCTGTTGTTTTGTTTTAGTCGGAACAAAAACGATTCCTCCAGCAACACAAATTGCGCTCGGAGAGTTACAGTAAGGCCGCTGCTACGATTAAAAAGCAAAGAAAAAAGAAAACCAACGTAACTAAAGTTGGATCGGCCATGGACAAAGAGATGAAGGTAAGTCCTGTTGCCTGTTAATTAATTTTATGTAATTAAATACAGATGGTAACAGCTCCGGCGATACTATTTATATTAATACATTCTTAGCATACCTTTTATTAAAATGAATAAACCACATTCTATAGGAAGAAGGGTTTTGTAAAAAATTAGTTCATATTTTAGAAACATTTCCAATTTTACTGTTTGAAATTAAAATAAAAAATGTAACCAGTTTAGTCGTATAGGCTAAAGGATCCATATTAAGCAATGGCGATCCTATTTTATTGTAACCCAATAAAATATTATGATAATCAGTGTCTAAAAGCTTTTAAGATAGTTAAAGTTAATTTAAAAATGTTATTATAATGTCCCCTGAGAATCAATTGATATAGAAACGATAGTAAGACACAAGTAAAAATACATTTTCATGTTTTTTAAACGGCTAAAACCTTAAAGAATTACTGTTTTTTTTTTTCGTTTACAGAGCATGCAAATACTCGAAGAGGAGAAAACAAAGTTGGATGCATTTTGCGAACAAAGCTTGAAAAATGTAAGTATTAGTTCAAAGAGGTTCGCTTTAGATAAGGCTTTTAACAACGAAGTATTAAGTAGAATTGCGTAAAATGTAAAGGATAAAGACCGTGCTTATAATGTAACTTCTTTATTTTTTAATTCTGTTTTGAAAATGTATGACACGAAGTTGAGTGGTCGGTGTTCTCTCATATTGGTAAAATACTCAATAATTATGGTATTACGATTACGATTGAGCTTTCTTAGCATTAGTATCAGGAACTGTGTTTGCAACAAATATGTTAATGTATGTAATTCCAGGCAATGACACAAGAGCGTCGACGCTACGGCTTCGTGCTTGAGCGCCAGTGCTCGCTCGCAAAGCATTGGCTGGCGTACCACAGCGCGGGCGCGGCGTCCTACAGCACCGGACTGGAAGAGTGGCTAGAGGTCTCCCGTACCAGGGAATACCTACCTCCCAATGTTGAAGCTATGTTCGTTAACAAGATGAGGGTACGATTAAAAAGTTTTGCTGTCTCTTACTATAGATTTATAAATTTTGAGGCTACTTTTGTACAATGTAGATGCGACTGTATAAATTATCTCATATTTCAATCTTCATTAAATGTCAAATGTTTTTAAAAGTAATTTATTTCAATTCTGGAACATTCTAAGGATATGAATGGGAAATAGTATTTGTGCAATCTTTGCCTCTCCCGCTACATAATGTGTCGTAAAAATCTGTCGCCACTAGCGTAAAATCATTTTATGGCCTCTCATATTTTATATGGCTGTTTAAACTGCGCGTGCCGTATGAATCTCCCGACGCACGGAAAAATACGCTACAGAATACGAAACCCTATGAAATTGCGTCTTCTGCGACTGACATTACTTTCACATGAATATGGTTATAGGGATATTAAAATTAAGATGCGATCATAAAACATCACGTATGCTGAATCGATGTAAATAAAGATTCTTGTAAAATAACCAATGTAACATGAGATAGAGAGTAAAGTTAATTGTAAATAAAATCCTCTTAATGATGTTTATTTTGAGACTTGTTGTACTAAAATTCTTTTGTTAACACAGCAAGTATCATTCTGGGCGGATGAAGACGTATATGCGAGTCCTCGAAACGGCGACGACGATGATCGCGCGTCAGTCGGTTCTGCGCTGAGGAAGACGCGCTCTGTGGACGCATCCTGTCTCGATGTGCGCTCTATAGCTGAGCTTGGCTCACCCGCACAAGGGCTATCTCGCGCTAAGTCAGACTTCAACCTGCAAGCGAGCTCTCATGGTGAACAAGGTAAGTTAACAAGTCATATATTTTCTAAGAGACAATTTCGATACAAGAGGTAGAAAC